ATTGGTAATACTTAGAAAAAATTAAAGGTCAAAAATGAAATGCACTTTTCTCATGAAATACATAGAAATTAGAATCCCACACTCCCTGACTTCAATTTGTTACATTATAATCCTTATTCCTGGAGGGTGGAGTATCTGTTCAGGAAACCACTGCACGACCCAAGGTCAAGGTTCCCCAGGTGGGCTGAGGTGACTGTCACCTCCATTCTTGAACCACGCTTCCGCTTCCTGCCATCTGTTCTTCTATGGTTCCCAGGGGCAAGTGTGCAGATAAAAGGAGCCCAAGTAAGGTTTGAGAGGCAGAAGAGCCACAGAAGTCACTGTCCTCAAGGCATGGGGGGATGGTGGTCAGACACATGGCTTCACCGTGCTCTCTATGAGCTAACTTGTTTGGGGGCCATTTTGGAGACTTAATGGAGTGGATTCTTGGCCTTCCTTGCCAAACTCCAGGCAGGTGTCCTTGGGGACTATGTCTCCGTCCTCTAGCTGCAGCTGTACCAGCCCTTCCCACATCAGTATAAGCCCCAATTTCCATATTAAATCCCTTTTTCCTGTAATGCTTGTAGTGGCTCCGACTGATCTTAGCAGAGACACCAGGCAAGTACAAACATCATTTTTGTGAAAGAACAACTTATTAGATCGAAGCCAAGTCAGCCAGTGGGTCAAGACATTCCCATCAAGTCATCTCCTAGCAACTGATTCTACCTAGAGGGATGAGTTGCTTGAGCCGTTTATTTTTCCCTTACAAGGAGGCCAACACCAACACTGCCTTGTCTCTATATAAACTTCTTTAACTCTCTTCTGTGTTTGCACAAGGTGTCAGTTCCTTATCGCCAAACTGGGGATGCCACCATCTCCAAACAGCATCTGTGGTCCTATACCTAGCAAATTGCCAGGTGTGTCCATGTGCTTTTAGTTGAGTCACAGGCTAGTATACCAGGAACACAGTTCCAAGATGATGGTCTGGCTCAAGTTCCCTTGCAAAAAAAAATCACACCTCATGCAGGGGCCTCAGATGGACCTGTGTTTGGTTATCACTTCAATCTCTGGTTCCTATTCTGCCCATTCTGATGTATTCTTTCTAATTTCAAGGTATTTCTGACTCATCTCCTGATCATCTTAACTTAGGTCTAAATAAGATTTATATTCACATTTTATGAACACACTTCCCAATGTACCTTATCAGGTTCCCAAGTATCATTTTGATTCAGGAATCATTTAAAATCACTGGAGTGGTAGCGATGCCTTGGTCTGGTACTTACATCTTCAGGAGTCTCAGGGTGGCCCCAGCAGAAGTCCTAAAGACATCAATATCAAGATTCCAAATAGATGTGGTTCCTGGTGGGAAAGAATATTCTACATATCCAGAGAAGCACCCTTCTTTTCGTAGAGGGGATGGCAAGAACAAAGGCCTTGGCTGGGGATGTATCTGGTGGTCTGAGAACAAGTGAGATGGTCAAGATTGCTGGAGAAGAGTCAGGGAGGAGGGTGAGGAATAGAGAAGGGCAGATATTTTTTTTGTGGGGAGCCAGATGGCATAAGGTCCTATAGATCACCATTTTGACTTTTATCCTGAGTGAGCTGAATGTTACTCAAAAGATTTTGAGGACAGGCTGAAGGGAGGCCATCTAGGGGAGAGGCCAAGGGCTGTGTAGGGTTGAGAAACTTTCCACAGGACCCACATTTGCACCTGACACAGAAATTTTCACTAAATCCTGGACTTTGATTATATGGGATGGTTGGCTGTCTTCTTTCAGGAGGAGTTGCATTCTGTGTACAAAAAGAAGAATGCAAACATTTATTTGGTGACCAGCACCAAAATCATCTTCTGATGCTTCCTGGACACAGGCTCATCTAGTGTCTTAGCCTCTGTTTCAGGAAAGTGTGACTATGGGGCTGACCTCCTGGGGACAGTGAAATGTGAATGGTGGTGTGTGTGCTGCTTCTAGGACTGGCCCATAAACACTGCCTGTCTTGGCACCTTGGTGTGCCTTTCCTTCCGTTGGCCCACTGGATGACTCACCAGGGTGAACTTGGAAGTCATGTAAAGTCAAATAGAGCTTGGTACTGGAACTGTGAAGTGAATCATCTTGCTCTAACTATAAATCCAGACCAGCTGAGGCATGGATCATATTTCAACAAACATGCTTCCCCCAATGTCACATCATCCCCATCCCTCATGGTCAAGCCTTCAAATCTGATGGGGATTCAGCCCATCAGCTCCTGTGACACCAGCTGATCCAGAATTTCCCAGGGGTGATTCTCCACATATTGATGTATTCTAATTCCTAGGTGTAGTAACAGGGTTAACTATGGAAAACCTAGTTAACAATATACAGAGGTGTGTCTAAGTCTTGGATAGCTTGACCAAGGTGACAAATAAGAACGTATCTCTGGTTTGTCACCTTAAAAATACCATGGAGGTGGAGAGAACTCTTGGTGGGATAACTGCCCAATTTCAGCACCTTCAGTGGTTTGTAAGAGAGTCTTGGAGCCCACAAGTTATTTCAGATATTTTTAGGAAAGAATTCCACCCATGTGGCTTTATTCATGTTTGCGTGATGAATGATTCCATGTGAACCATCTCTTGAAAGCACATGTGACGTTGATCTAATATGCACGTAACTTGAGGCTGACCTTACCTCCAAAGAAAGGCTGTTAAGAAATCTCCTGAAATATTCAGTGCAACACTGACCCTGCTTCTTTTCAAAACATTTAATGTCTGTCCATGTTGCCTGAAGCTTACAGGTGCATGCTGTTTTCTTGTATTTATTAAAAATTATGCCAACCAGTTGTGAGGCCTTTTCCTTGGTGAGGCCCTAGAGGAGATATTTTGATCCTTTACTACTGGGTCTTCCATATAGTAATTGCCCATTTTCCTACTCCACATAATTCAGGTGGGGCTATCGATTAAGGGACAGAGTCCAGCTCATTGTAGTGGTTACCTATGTGAAGGGACAGAGTCCAGCTCTTTGTAGTGGTTACCTGACCAACGATGGTCAAGCATGAATCAGTTTGAAGGAGTTTCAGTAGATTCTGGAAGATAATGTCTTTTCTAAGATCATGCACCTGGATTCTCTGACACCTTCTTTTTCATGAAGCCAACTGCTACACAAAACAAGACTAAGAAACTGGTGAGGGACAAATTGATTCCTAATGGCAGCTTTCAGCCTTTGGATTTAGCTGTGCTCAAAACCAAGCGTTCCAGACTCTTGGATTTAGTTGCATTAGATAATTCACTGTGTGAAATTTAATGATTAATCTCATGAGTTGTTTTTTTTTTAATACTTATAAGTGGAAATTTTAATTAATGTCCCATGAACTATAGGATGGCAAGAGAGTCAGTATATTTTTCTCACTGACCTTTCTCTTGAGGGTCTCATTGCCTGTATATCTTTTCTTTATATATACACATTATTCTTCCATTGCAACCACATGAATGGATCTCTTATTTGCTTTACCTTTTGAAGGCACTGCCTTCCCTGTGTGTTACAAGCTAAATGAAGAAGATGAACAATACCTCCCAGCTCACTCATTCTCATGGATTTTTCTCTAGGAGACTTTGTTTGAGTTTATGACCTTGAAAAAAATCCCATTGGGAGTAGTTTCTTCACTAGGATCTTAATGTTCAACCCAACCATTTAGGACCACATTAAGAAAGCTTCTATTCATTTCAATCCTGTATTTTCTTATTCATTGGAAAAGCGATAATAGGGCCATTTCCAATTCATTTCAAAGGGCCTTTGTCTGTTCCATTAACAGCACCGTTTCTGTACTACAGTGCCCTTAGCTTTACATTCATGAACCCAATGTGGGCATGATCCTTTAGACCAAGGATTGACAAACTAAAGCCCATAAGTCAAATCCAGTCAGCTGCCTAGTTTTGTAAGTAGTTCTACTGGAACACAGCCACATCTATTCATCTATGTATTGTCTATGGGCTCATTTTTAGTTGCTACAGAGACTATACGGCCATAAGCCAAAAATGTTTTCTGCTAAGCTCTGTTCTAGATTAGAGCTTTTTGATTGTTTCCTCACTATGAGCTCCAACAACAAATTGTATTCAAAAAGTATCCTGAGGGATCAAGGAAGGAGCATCTTAACAATCCTTTGGGGCATGCCACATGGAAAGGTCCACCCTAGGCCACTTGGGGCAGGGCAAGTGCATACTAGGGAACAACACAGCACATACTAGGGATACTCCCAACTGATAGGCTCCATCTTCTTGAGAGAGCTGAGGAGTGATACATAATCCAAATCTTGGTTCTGAAGGTCTTATCTTTGGATTCCAAGGCTGGTGACTTTTCCTGCTCACGGAGGTAGTGATCTACTGGGCAACCTGACTTCCCATGCAATAGTCCCTGCTGTATAATTCAACACGTGGCTTCAAGACTAGACTTAAAAGTACAAAAAGATGTTCCCACTGATGGGGTCAATGTGAGCCATTTGTGGTTTGAAACTCGATACAGCACACTGGTGTTAGAGCTATACTGTGCCTCTGTATATGTAGTCAACATCTGTAATAGTTATTACAGCCACTACCCCTCTCTCTCCTGAACAATGCTCCAGTCAAGCACCCTTCTTCTCGGAGCCCAGGATACTAACTGATGTCCACAGCTTCACCTCTGTCCCTCTGTCCCCCAATCATTCCAGCTGTGAAATCCCAAGAATCCATCACATTTTGAAATCCCATCAATATATGCTTTCTTTCCCCCGTTTTATTATGGCATAAATTAATTGCAGAAGCTAAAACAAAAATGACCGTCCACTCTTTAGATTGCTATGGGGCAGAAAAGTGGGTCGAGAACCATTCAACCAATAGAAAGAATGAAACTGCACGTTTATTTGAAAGTATAAAATTTTTTTAAAAATCCAAAAAAAAAAAACCAAATAAACCAAGCCTAATCAAAAAACAAAAAGCAATCAAACATAATCCAGTTTACATTAACTCTGAACATCACACATTATTTATTAACCACTTAGTTGCATTTTTTTTAAAAAAAAAAAAACATCAATTATAAAGTAGAGGAAAATACAGTCAGGCAATAAGCTAGCAATCACAGTGAAACTATCTTAATGCTAAAATAAAACACTGATCTCATTTGAGAAAAGAAAGCAGAGATCATTTTCTGGTTGGTGTAGATTTTTTGTATGTAAAAACAAAATCCTGGTTGGAATGAGTTAAAAAATATTGCTAGCCACTTATCTGACATCTTGACTGTGGTAGCGGGGGATCCAAAATCCTGCAGCTTTGGTGTCTTTTATATGTATATGTGTGTGTGTGTGTGTGTGTGTGTGTGTGTGTGTGTGTGTATATATATATATATATATATATATTTAAAATCCATTAAAAATCAAATCTGTAATAAAAATGTCCCTGTGTTTGTTTTTAAAAACAGCATTTAATAGACTCCCCTTATCTCCTAAAACCATTTGTTTTTCCTAAGATGCCTAGAAGCAGAAAAGCGGGTGAGATTAACTCACCACACAATTAATTAAAATTAGAATACTTTCCTCTAAACATCTTCCAGAGCACCAGAAAGAAGCAGGGGCCCACCAAAGGGAAAAACAAAGCCATTCTGACTCACAGAAGATGGCATGTGTAGCCAGTCACACACTGTCTGCCATCCAAGTTATTTTTATTGGATTATTCAGGAAATAAGCACTATTTTAAAAATGAAAGACAAAGGCAACTAGTTTCCTTTACTTTAAAAAAAAATAAAACAAAAAACAACAAAACAAAACCCAGTGGCTAGCTTTCCTGTAATATACTTTGGATTTGGTTAAAAAAAGAAAAGTCGACAGAAAGGGTCACTGAAGGCCACTCCATCCCCCCTTCCTGCTGGCTCTGTTTGAATTGGCGTCAGATAGGTTATTGACAGTTTCTTCTGCTGTGGAAAGAAGGCTTGAATAGGTGATAGCTGCCCAGAGTGGCTCCACCTGGTTCCAGTTCTGTCCCTCCTTGGTGTGGTTTCTTGCCCAACAATGCCTACGTTTTTAACCCACATCTCCCTCACAGGGTGGGGCCTGCGGCTGGCCAGGCATAGAGAAGAAGGAAAACTAGCACAAATATAGACTAGAACTGAAGGACACGTCTGTCCGCATCCTTCAAGAACTCCATAAATAATAACCTCAAAGCGCGACGACAACGCACAAATGCTTGGCACACTGGTCGGCCTGGGGTGACTTATCATTTTGCATTTTCTTTGGACCTTACTAAAGAAAAAACAAGACAAAAAAAAAAAAAGAGACAGCTTTCCTATACACATATAAATAGTCCCTTAACTAGAAGGGAAAAAAAAAACCAAACACACTGTTTCAAATGCATTTCTAAGAGATTTTTAAAAATCCAAATGGAAAATCTTGACTCCAAACTGTCTATTTGCCCATGTGTCTCAGAGGAGAAATTCTACGGGGATGTTAGGAGGGACCCGACCCTGACCCTAACTTGGGGCTCTGGTCCTGGACATTGGGTAGGAGGGTGTGAGCCGCATAGGTTGCTGGGAGCTCTTAGGGGAGGTACTGAATATGGCTCTTGTTTCCTCAGATCCAAATGCACAGGTGAAATCTGGGGTAGAGAGGGAACTTGGGAGCCTGGGGTTGAAGTTGTATGGATGAGCAAGACAGGCAGGGTGTGGTCTAATGGGGAAAAGGGCCAGATCAGACTGTTGGCTAACTCCAGTTGAGTCCTCATCCTTTGGCTACAGCAGGTCAGCTGGAGGCGTGACCTGCAGAAGCCAGGGAGAGGACCATGGGGCCACACAGACCCAGGTTCTGATAGCATGTTGGTGCAGAGAACTTGGTCAAACTCATCAGATACTTCTCTGGTTCGAGGCGGATGATCCACACGCTGGAACATGCTCTCCAAACAAGGATTCTGGGGCACATTTCTAAAGCCAGAATCTACCCAGGGTCCTTCACAAAACCAAAATGACACTGCTGAGAGCCAAAGGGTGTCCTCATGTCAAAGTTTTCTTTGGCCACTGCCTCTGCTGAAGTGAGAGCAAAGCTAGGATGATGCCAGGCAGGTTCGATGTGCACTTGGACGCATTTTAGGGTGGCCCTCCAGTTCATGGCCTCCTGGTAAGACCACCCAACCCAGATCCCCAAGTGGAGCTACGAGGGTGCAGCCCAGCAGAAAACCTGGTCCAGTGTCTTCTGCCCTTCTGGACATGCAACACGGCACAGAGACACTGCTTCTCAAAGATCATTGCATCCTGCTGCCCACAAATCTGCATCTGCTACTCAGAGGGATTCCAACATTAACAGAATGACGTGGAACATGAGGCTATGACTGTGGGCCCCGTAGGAACAGTGACCTCACACAAAAGATGGCCATGCTTCATGTCAACTAAGAAGCCAGAAAAATGCCAGATCTCCCTCCAAAGAATATCCCGCCATGTAGGGAAGGAGATGAATGGAGAGGCAGCTGCCACGGCCAACTTCAACTTGAGACACCCTGAAAGGAGCTTCAGCAGCTTCTCACGGACACAAGTTGCTAGAATGGAACACGTTGGAGCAGATGAGCCCATGTGGACTTTGGAACCGCTGGATTTATACTTGTTCAGTGCCCTCAGTGGGCACAGAGTCCCTGGGCTGAGCGGTACCCTCCGCAGGGCCAGGCTGCCCTGGGCTATGGCTGGCGGTGTCTTCCACGCTGAGGAGGCTGCTGGCTGCCTGGGAACTGGCGCTGTCCGCGCTCCCAGACCGTGAGCGGTAAGGAGGCAGGTCGCCTTGGTTCAGGGACTCGGTGTCAGAGGAGTAGGGTGGTGGAGGAAGGTCATACCACGCAGGTCTGCAATGGAGAAAGCAGGTGGGGGCGGCAGGGATGGTGGGGAGTGGAGAGAAGAGAACAGATTAGTGCTGAGACAGAGCAGGGGGCAAGGATCCCGTGCCAGCGTCAGTCCATTTCTGAGCTGATGCTTCAAGTGAGGAATGACCTTCCCAGCCACTGCAAGGGCCACTCAAGGACGAGGAAAACCAGTGGTTTGAAACCAGAGAAAGAAAACAGGTCAGTGTGCTTTGGCTGGTCCATATCCTCTGGGCAGGGCCAATACCACGTCCTCTGTGTGGACCCAGAAGGAGGGTGCTAAGCTTAACCTGGGTTGTCTGGCAGAGCTGCTCTGCTCCTGGCGGAGGGCCCCCTGGCCAAGGGGCTGAGCTGGCATCTCAGCCGAGCCTTTGATGGGCCTCAGAATTTGGGGTTCTCACTAGAGCCAACTCATGCTGTGGACTTGGGTAAGTGAGAGGACACTCTCAACACTTCCATCTCTATCTGTACCTTGCTTGAAATGAAATCACTTAACAGAAAACACATTGTCTTCTTAGCTCCTGTTACTGAAGGCTTGCTCCAGTCGGGCACTGTGCCGTGCACTTCCTGTCCCCGTCTTCGATGCCCACAAAGGAGGTGGGCATTACTTCTGTGCCCATTGTACTGGTGAGGAAACTGAGGCACGGGGACAGGAAACGGCAGTTCTGGGATTGGAACCCAGGCACCCTGCCTTCAGGTTCAGCAGCGATGATACTGTGGAGTGTGACTGGTGAATGCCGGTCTCTGCCACTGCCTACAGCCACCCAACTCAGGCTCTGGGAAAGGACCTGGGTGTGTGCACATAGGCCCCTCCCCCCGGGTTCTGCGGTCCAGCACCCACCTTTGGTCCAGTAGGGCTTCCGAGTAGGAGGGCGGGGAGCCCACTTCCGAGGCGTTCTGCTCAGCCTGGCTGGCCACGTACTGGATGCCGTTGTTGACGTTGTAGGTGACGTTGCAGTGGTGGGGGTGGTCCAGGACCACCAGGCGGGACAGCAGCACAGGGTGCTGCAGCCGATGCACGGGCAGCGTCATGAGGTTGTTCCTCTTTCGCTGGTGATGCAACACCAGAGCCAGCAGGGCCACCACCAGCACGAAGATGACGGAGCTGCCGATGATGGCGTAGGTGATGCTGGGGTAGTACACCAGCTGGTTCTCCGAGGTCACGAACACCTGTCCGCTGCCCGGCTCTGGGAGACAAGAGGAAAGGGTTCCAGGTTAGCTCACGTTTGTCTTTTGAGGTCAGCCCCAGGACTCACATGCAAATGTTGACAGTGTCACCATTTACAAGTGCAGCGACAGTGAGCAGGTAAACAGAAGGAGATACATCCATGCGCTGAGTAAGTATCCAGCCAACACTGTGGCCAGTGCTGACATGCTACAGGGATGTGGGGGCTTCAAAAACAGTTCCATAAAAGAAGCCAGACCCCAAAGACCACACATGATTCTGTTTATATGAAATGCCCAGGACGGTGAATTCACAGAGGCAGGACGTACAGTGGATGCCTGGGGCTGGCGAGGCAACGGGGATTATCTGAAAAAGGGCAAAGAGGGATCTTGCAGGGGTGATGGGAATGTTTAAAACCAGATGATGACGACGGCCATACAGAACAGAGAAATTACTAAAAATCACTGAATCGTACACTTCGTTTTGGCGGATTTTATGTTATTGTAAATGAGGCCTCAATAAAGTTGCTTATGAAGCCAGCCCCAGGAGATGTAATGAACATCCAGGGGACAGGAGCGAGAGTCCTCATGGCAGGAACTGGGTTTTCACTGGAAACTGGTAACATAACTATATGAGGAACACGAGGTGTATCTGGGCTCCTTGTCTGTAGAGTGCTTGTCTGATGCCGGGTCCCAGGTGGATCCTTCTAGACTGAGCACTAGTGTGGCACAGGCTGACCATGGAATCTGGTGTCACACTTGGTCCCAGTCTCGGCCCCTCGGCTTACTCACTCTGTGCCCTTGGAAAAGTGCTACCTGCACAGGGCTGCAAAAGGGGGACAGGCACTCTCTGGGCTTCTGGAGTCTGGACTACGTCAACAAGGATCAAGCTCTTCCAACAAGGGCCTCACCTCTCGACACTGAAGATGCTCAGGTAAGAGGCTTCCCAGCGGGTGGGACACACCTGGCCTCCACAGGAAGGTCCAGGCAGGCACAGGACACCCAAATATAGACCAGAAGTAGCAGCAGTGCTAAGAGCTTTATTCTGATCCTCAACACAAGCTGTGTGTCTATCTTATTCGTTACTGCATCCCCTAGGTGTAGGATAATGCCTGGTATACAATAGGCACTCAATTAATGCATACAAATCAAGGATAAAATCTGTTTATTTACACCCTTTAGTAAATTAGGTTCCCTTATTATTTCTATCTTTCAGATGAGCAAATTGGCTCAGAGAGGCGAATTAACTCATCCCAGGTACCTTAGTAGTCTCAGATGAACCAGGGCTGGAACCCAGATATTTCTCTTTCAAAAAAACTGCATGCTGTGAAACACACTCTCTTTTCCCCATTCGTGATATAAAGTTTTCCTGTTTCTCCAAATAATTCTTTTTTCTTTTTTTTTTTTGGTATCTGGAGATTGAACTCAGGGGTGCTTGACCACTGAGCCACATCACCAGCCCTATTTTGTATTTTATTTAGAGACAGGGTCTCACCGAGCTGCTTAGCACCTCACTTTTGCTGAAGCTGGCTTTGAACTCATGATCCTCCTGCCTCAGCCTCCTGAGCTTCTAGGATTACACGCTTGCAGCGCCACACTCAGCCCTAAATAATTCTTCTCTGAGACAAATGAAGACCTCGCCCCCCAAACTTCCATTTCTCTGTTAATTTTCCTTTCCAGCCACACCAAAACATGGACCAAAAGCTTCCAAGATTCTCCAAGTTCCTGGCAGTGATCATTTCAATGTGCATTACAGATTTTAATTGTACAGAAAGACGTCAAGATAACTCTGGTGAAAAACAGGACCACTCTGCCACACAGTTAAGGGAAGGAGGTGATTTGGGATTTTTCTGGAGACAATTAACTGTCACTCTTTTCTTAGCTTAATTAAAAACTGGATGGGGACTCGTGTGTGTGTGTGTGTGTGTGTGTGTGTGTGTGTGTGTGTGTGTGTTTCAGAATTCAGGCTTCAAATATTGCTATTTTGTTACCTCCCAGACAGAGCTACAAAGTCTCAGAGACTTGGGGTGCTATCCTGGAGCCATCAAGGACTGGCTGCTTGGGCTCAAGCAAGTTATGTAACTTTCCTAAGCCTCAGTGCCTCATTTTTAAAGAGACGGCAGGCAGGCAGTACCACGTAAGAATGGCACACATCTCCCTGGATTATGGGGGTTGCAATATATACATAAGGGCCGAGAACGGGGCCCGACAAGGGTTTGCACTCAGTCATGCTAGTTCTTTTAAAAAGTGATCATTAAAAAATTATGACGATGATAAAATATATATATAGCACCCAAACGCTTTCTAAATGTGTGGCTTAGGGGCATGATGCACGTCACAGTGCTGTGCCGCCATCTCCACTATCCATCTTCAGAATTTTCCCTCAGCTCTAACTAGCTAGTCCCAGTTCTCAGGGTTCACGTTCTCAGGTTATTCTTTTCAACTTTTCCGGACCAGTGGCAGAAAAGGGAAAGCAACCCCTTTGGCAGGTAGCGTGGGGTAGAGTTTCACACGGAAAACAAAGGGCCCAGAGAGGTTTAAATGCTGACTTCTGCAATATTTAGTATACAAGTGGGGTGTGATGGGGTGGTGGTGCACACCTGTAATTCCTGTGACTCAGGAGGCTGACGCAGGAGGATGGCAAGTTTGAGGTCAACCTCATTAACTTAGTGAGACCGTGTCTTAAGGTACAAAATAAAACAGTGTGTGGATATGGCTCAGTGGTAGAGAACCCCTGGGTTTGATCCTCTGTACTGAAGAGGAAAAAAAATAAGAAGAAATGGGGAGCCCTTTTAAATGAATAAAAAGTAAATGCTTTTGGATCATAACGATCTCACTGTCTCCAGACGGGCCCGCTTTGGCAGGCAAGAGGCTGTGAACACATTGGCTGGAGAAATTATGATGTTGTATAACTCAGTGGTGCCTGGTCTCGTTTTTGCTCTATGTGTAGAATGTCATCTCGTATTAATTCATTAACTAGACCCACTTTTCTTAAGAGCTTAATGAGCCTGCTGGCCAAATTACTAATATCCGAGTTGCCTGGGTCCTACGTTCCAAGTGCATAATCCCCGGATAATGAAGTTTCCATTTTTTCTGGCTGTCCCCCAAGCTAATGCCCCCTGCCACACATCCTGGATCCCCACCCTGTGCCTGCAACTCAACCGCATCCATTCCAGGCAATCTGCTACCACCCCGAAGCCACGGCTCTCTCTAAACGGCTGTCGCCCGCAGCTCCTGGTGGCGCGGGCTGTGTTTGCACGGGCCCTGGGTGCTCTTCACCTCAAGTTGTCACACGTTTGTGCAGTTATCATGCCAGTCTTCTAGCAGATGGCAGTGGAGCGTCCTGAGGAGCAATGCGTCTCCCTAATGCACTCCGAGGTGCAGTCTGGATGGGCAGAGGCGCCAGGGCAGCTGGTACTTATGACTCGGTGTTCCCTTCCTTCTGCGGCATCCCTTCCTTCAGATGCAAACTCAGTTTCCTACAGGACACTATGTTTTTTTCTTTGCCCATCAGATTGGCAAAGGCCCAGTGTGAGCTCACGTTTTGTTGGCCAGGTCTTGGGAAAACAGGTATCTCGGTGCCTGGTATATATGCAAACGGGTGTGGGGGTGATTGATAGAAAGTGGGGCAGGCAGAGAGGGACTAAGAGGGTGGAAACTATGGTGGTGAGAGGTGGGACTTTGGGAGGTGAGCACTAGACAGGGTCATCAGGGTGCACCTCCCGTGCATGAGTCCTAGTGGTTTAATAAGAGGTGGGAGAGAACAGAAGAGACAGACGCCATGCTCCCTGTCTCATGCCACATGGTGTCCTCTACCCCCTCGGGATTCTGCCAGCAAGAAGGCCCTCACCAGATGCAGAAGAATACGTAGCATAGTTCTGGAAGGATGCACAGACACGATGATGCTGCTAGCTTCTAGAGAGGGGAACAGAGGCTGGTAGAATGCGGCAAGAGGCTCTTCCTTGGCTACTTTGCACCTTTGCACTGGATTATCTACCAAGAAAAACAAACACAGCCTCTCTTCCTTCAGCTCAGCCTGGGCTCAGCGTCACTGTGTCCCTCCCATCTCTCCTGTAGCTGCAAGGCTTTCTGGGGCTCATGCCTCCAAGCCCGTGGTCACAGTTGGTGGGAGGCACGGTCACAGGGAGGGGAGACGCCTTGCTGAGGAGAAACTCCTGGAGGATGGCCCCCGCCTGCAGCCTGACCTCTTGAGTTGAGAATTCCTGTTTGGGAATATCTGTTGCAAAAATGAGCAGCTACGCCTTCGGGGCCCTTCCTTGCCTCAACATTCTTTCCAGCTCCCCTGGAGTCGGTCTCCTCCTCTCCATCCCAGCCATGGGAACCACTAGTCTGTCTCCAGTGTCTGGATCTGGATCTCCTTTCCCAGAAAGCCACAGGTAGAACCGAGCAGATGGAGCCTTTCACATCTGGCTCCTTCCTCAGCTCACTGCCTGAGATCCACCCAGGTTTCCCTGAGTGGCGTTCAGTGGCAGAAGCACCACAGTCTGTTTGGCGATTCCCCAGCAGAGGGTGGGGACACGCCTGCTCCCAGTTTTGGGAATGCAGGTCTTTGTAGGGACACACATTTTCACATTCCTTGGGCCTAGCAAGGACAGATAACTGGTTCGCTGGGGAGCAGAGGTGTGACTTGACAAGTACTGTCCCACTGCTCTGCGCAGCTGCAGTGGTGTTCTGAACACCCTCCACCCTGCCCCGCAGCATCTGCGTGTGAGATCCCATGGCCCTGCATCCCCATCCACACTTGGCATCGCCATCCTCTGCATTTCAGCCAGTCCCGTGGGTGCACAGCGTGTCTGGGAGCCTCGCTGAGGCTTCACTTGGCATTTCCTCAGGACTCACGCGGTTGAGCACCCGCTCACACGCTCTCTGCTACTTCACAAGGTCTCTGACAAAGAGTGGCCTACTTTTAAATTGGATTGCTTGATTTATCAGTGGGTTGTAAGAGTGCTTCCCGTGCTCCGGACGCAAGCCCTTCATCACAAACATATTTTGCAAAGAGCCT